AATTTACTAATCTTATTTTACTTTAAATTTTCTTTTATATTGCATTACAAATATTTACAGGCCTGTTTTCATAAATTACTAGCTAAATGTAAAGGTTCACACATGATAWCCAATTAGAAACTGTTGTTACAAGTTTCCCATAGTTCTCTGAAACAACATCAATTTAAGGTGTTTTCTCAGAATGCATGCAAAAAGAACAAAAGGAATTATTTTCTTTGAATAAATGCATGTTGCCTGCTACCTTTCATTTCCGAGTTTTGAAGTAGGATATTTGTACGTTGAGAAATGGCAAAGTTGTAGTTGTTTTGTTCAAATTTTAAAAGTGATRTTTTCTTTTTACACAAGATGTCATGCTCTAGCACTAAACTAAATTTTAGTTCAATGTTTATACAACTGTCTGAATTAATTGCCATTTTGTGTTTGCTAAAGTCAGTTGGCTATGACATCTATTTTGAATCATGTTAACTCCAACATGTAATAGGTTGCAGATGTACATGACTACTTTTGTAAAGTTTTATTAAAATATGTTCAGAGTTGACTGAAAGTTAATGGCAACATTTTTAACACAGAACTTGACCAATCTGCGATCCCTCAGAATATGTGTTGGGGATCAATCTTAGCTACGACCACACAAAGTTTCAACTCAATAGCTGCAAAATTGAGTGAGTTTTTAGCTGTTTGTTGTGTTTTTAAGGTCAGTTTGCTGTGGCAGCCATTTTAAAGTGTATTAACTCCAAAAGGTAATCAGTTGTAGATGACTACTTTCTACAATGACTACTTTCTGCATGTTGTATTAAAATTTGTCCAGTGTTTAATATGCTATTTTGCTAACAGACACACATATGCACATGGGACATAGAGATATGGGCAAAAACATTATCGCTCACCTTTTGGCCTTTTTTCATGTGTGATAATAAAATCCTAAATTAGTGAGATAAATAACTGGTAGTTGTTTTGGGATTCAAATTATTTAAATAAATAAATATTACTATTCTGTCCAAGCTTGAGTCCATTAACATTTGTAAGCATACAAATGCACTTCAAGTCCATTTGGCTGTTCCTAAACTCTATAGTGAGTGTGTTACATAAGAAAAAGTGTCAGGAAGGAGGTATCAGATATAACTGACACAACAAAAATTCAGGTTTGGCGGTAAGATTATCCAATGCATTTCCAGCACAGATACTAATGCATGTTGTACCTGCCTCTCATGCCTTATGTAAGGATCATATGAACTTATTATGTAAAGAAAAACTGCCGCTGATCTTCTCATGTTTTCTAATTTCTCAACAAAGGTCATCTTAATTTTGTTAAAAACGTCTCTAGAATGACTGGTTATCAAGCCCCTTAAATTCAGCTGCATTAGTCAGAGAGTCAAACAACTTGTTTCATTTTAATGTAATTCTATGAATGCACTAGTTTTGTTTTTAATCATTTTAATATGTTAAACTGACAGGAAACTGGTATTAATTGCTGCTGAGTTAAAGTGTTCCCATTGAAAAAAATAAAAACAGAAATCTTCACAGTGAAAGAAATTCTCAGCAAGACATAAAACAATTAGCTTATGCTGTGTGATAAAATAAGATTTTGTTGGGTTTTTTGTATGAAACATAAGCTTACAAAATTAAGACACATTACCAGCTACGGGACTTTGGTATTCAGAGCATAATGTGTTGTCTTTGCTCAAACAGTGTGCACAAAATAATTGAGTTTGAATTGGTTATGCCTGGGGCTAAGTGCTAAAACAAATCTTTAAATGAAATTTATTACAAGCGGGGTTACCGTGCCCAGGTGTTATTGAATTCATTTCTCATTCTGACCTGATTTAGAATGATAACGATAATAAGTGAGACTGGCAGAAAAGATGACAGTGACATTGCACATCATGGATTCCCTTCAAACAAATTAAAATGCAGTCAGTCTCAATGGCTTAATTGATCCGTGCAGATGGTGTCTTTTCTTCCAATTGTTTTCCCCAGCAGGGTACATTATCATTTTCTTAAATAAATCCATCTGTGCTAAAGGAGYAAGCCTCACGAAAGCCGAGAATACATACAATGATGATACGAATTTCACGGTAAAATATGAAGAATGACTTTAACAAAAGGCCTGTTGTCCATTCTCGGATTCATTTGGATTCAGGCAAGGACAATTTAGGGTGACATTGCTGTTTGAGGCAGTTCACTGCCTTTCACTGTAAGTGCAAGGTTGATGAGAACCCAACCCCCGCCCCCCACCATCACATACCTTCATACCAGTAAAATTAATGAGGAAAATGAAGCTAATGAGATAACAAGCACAAGATGGAGAAACAGGCTGATCTGACGCATCCTCCCGGTTATTTGGCAATATCTGGAGGCGTCACTGGCCTCAGACTCTCATTTTCTTCCTGTCATATTCAATCAGCGATTCCTGCCTAAAATAAAAGCAAGTGTCTGGCGTGTCCATGACCAGCAGAACACTGGCACGGCTGGTCTCCTCACTGCTTTTCTCTTCTCCCCAGTGGGGGGTTGATTTAAACCTATAAGGTTTCTTTACCACTAGATAATTTTTGAACTCATATTTCCATCCAAGGCCACACTGTACTTTGCATTGATGTAAATGTGGTTTCATAAAGGGCATGTTTTAGTGGGATAAATGTGAGCTTCCTCCGTTTTAGATAATTTACAAGAGAAAGTAATGAGGTCATAGWTATCGGCCATTTCTCTGTGGATACTTAGGCTCAATGTGTAACAATCCTCACCTGAAATCAAACTAGTTATGGGCAAATCTGTCTACTTGGATAATTTATAAGGAGCTATGTTAGGTAGTAGGTCAACAGTCAATTTCAATAATTGGCTGTTTTATTGTAAAAATTAATGTATCTGGTGCTAAGGTCTGTTACATGGTGCTTTCTAAGGTTACAAATGAACATGAGGCTAAAAGTGGATTTAATAGAATTATATTTTATAACATTTAAGTGCTATTAGCCATTTGTTTTGTTAAAATGTTTGACTGCAGCATGGCTTTGTGGCATATCAAGCCACCCAGAAACGTTGCCCCCAACCTGTTGTTTGAGAAAATTAACCATAACCCTCACCAGATTGTGGGAAATTAGGGAAATACACAATGTCAAATTGGAMAAAAGCAAAAGAAATATGTCTCCTCCTGGTGTTCTTATTACAGCTTAGTTGGCTCATTCATGTGCACTCAAAATGTAATTGCAATAATTCAGGCAACTCGAAATGCAGTGCTAGTTTTTGACATGGCTTTCAAATTTCAAAGAAGACTGTTCAACGGCTGACTGTGTGACTTCAGTAAATTAGCATTAGGTTGAGTTAAATATAAATATTAAAAACATGAAATTGCATATGGACTGTGGTGCTTTAACAATTTTAAAGCCTGTAAGAATTTCTATTAGATGTTTATTTTACTTTGGAGGTTGTAATATTCCATCCATAAGTAGATTTTTACACGTCTCAAATTAAAAAAGTAAATCAGATGTCYGATTCTTTGCACATCATAAATCCTTAATTTAGATCTTTTGAAGTGGGGTTTGATGAAACATTTATGATCAATTGTTATTTTACCTGTTGCTTTTTAACAACCCTAGTATAATGAATAGAGTTTAATTCTGACTGGATTCATGGGGCCAAGACCAAAGTAGATTGCTGTCATCTCAAAAGCACTTGATTCTCAAAAAGGTTAAAAGCATTTCATACAAACACTATTTTATAAACCTTGACATGGTCATGAATTTTGAATTACTCTGTTGTTTCAACAGAACTATGTCATTATTTACAAGTGCTAATGGTGACAGAAGTAGCTAGTTGTGGCACTTCTGGTGAGCACAAGCATGAAGCACTTCCATGAGGAATATCATATTTCTATTGGAATAACAGTGTAATCAAAAACTGACTGCAATTTATAAGTTTATAAATTAGCGTCAGTTTGAAATGCTTTTAAATGTTTTAAATTGGAGTTTTAAGTTGGCAACTATTTACTTTGGACTTGGGCCCACTTGGATTAGCCAATCTGGTCAAAATTAAAGTCCATTTCTCCAAACTGAAATTGGTCAAATGTCAGTTGGCTGGTGTCAATACTTCAAATTTACTTGGAGGAATWTTAGGCTGACACTTTCAACCCCGGATTATTTGTGGTTTTCTTCACATGAAGTGTTTACTTCATGATAAGGTTGGRCAAAATCTAYTGTGTGCAATTAATCGTCAGAAAAACWGTCAACAATTAATATTTGCTACTTTACAATTCCTGATGTAATTTTGTGTGTGTTGCACACTCACTATTAAGCATGCACGTGAGCCTGTGGCATATTGCATTAAGATATGCACCAGGTACATTYGTTTTTATCATAGGAATGTACCCTGGGTTATCCTGACATAGGGRCATCAGACCATTTTAAATTAATTTATTGAACTATTTCAGAATGTTTGTTCTTTCAGTGAGGATAAAACAAGACCAAACCATGATACTACCACCAGTGTGTTTTACTGGTGGGATTAGCTTCTTATGCTGAGATGAAGTGTTTTTCTTTCTCTTGACACAGTGCTTCTCATTAAAACCCAGTGTTCAAATTTAGTTTGACTTGCCCAAAATATTATTTAAAAGCTGGCAGCTTTTTTTTTTTCACACGATTTTCAGCAGGGTAAAGCTTGGAAACGARCTCCCTTTTATTTCACATTTGGGGCTTCTTTCTTGCAACAGAACAGCTCTGAGCAGCTCAGGCTTTTTCAGTGTTGTCCTAATGTTTAACCTAATCCAATGTGAGAGAAGCCTTTAGTCACTTAGACGTTACATAGGCTATTACTTATACTTGAAGTCGTCTAAGTAACATATGCTTCACTAACTTTTCAGCATGATTTTGTTAAATTAATTCAAATAAATTTCTGACTACATGCAACTCAGATCATGGCTTTGCAAACACTTCTTCTGGACACCTATTCAGTGTTTTTTTCCCTGAAAGTTTCCATCACCAACATTTGTCTTATTCTTTTCTCATTTTCAGATTGATCCTAAGGTTGCCTTTCCACGTCGTTCCCAGCCTAAGGTAAGAATAAATTGGTCACTAACAATACTCTTAGAAAACAATTATGTCGGGTTGTTAGTTGAGCTGATTTTGTGAGCTCAAACAGCTTTTACAACGAGATGCAAAATTTCACTCTGGCTCTATTGTTCTCACCTTGGCCGTGTTGTTTTACCAAACTGCTGAAAGATGAAAATAGTTGACTGAGAGGAAGTTTTCAGAAATGTGTATTGTTGTTTCTGTAGTGTATGCTTTAATTGTACTTTTTTCATTTCTTATCACAGTGRTATACTGCAGTGTCTGTTGTAAATCATTTTTGTAAGGCCTCTCTTCTACATTTTATTTTGTGTATTTGCAGACAATGTTAACTGTTGCTTGAAAAACATATTTTCAGATGGAAATAAAGCCTCAGAGTCTTTGATGGTACACATTATTKTTAATAGGCAAGTTTTATTTTGAAGTGATTAGGGAGATATTTGCCTGAATGATTTTTTTTAAAGGAATGAATGGTGACCTCCAGCTGACAGTGATGAATTACACTTACTGGCTGAATTATAAGTCAGAGTTCTTTTGTTGAATTTGGAGTTGAATGAGTCTGAATGACATGAGTGATTCAGAAATGTCTTTATTGTGTCGCCCGCTTGCAGAAATCATCACAATTAGTCCAGAAACAATGGAGGAATTAAGAAATAAGCCATATACCAWTCATGCAGGAACTGTCGCACAAGCTCTTCATGATGCATATTATCTTTTCTTTTCTTGATTGCTGGTCTTAAGCTTTTCTATTGACAATTAAATATTYAGAATGTGCAGATGGTGCGGTGGAGTAGTCAAAGGCTTTGTTGACGTGCCCCCTCACACCACCCTCCAGCTATTAATGTGCAGGCTATAGCGCAATGCACTGTAGCGCTATTCAGCATCGCTATCAGGGTCTTTTCCACCTAAACCAGGTGGAAATCGATAATAGATTTTCTCCTTTCCCTTGGATCACAGAGAGAGGCATTGTTAAAGACTTGTTCAGGTTTCAAATAAGGAATTGGCAGCACAGGCTTTCAGAAACSGGAGCACTCTGTGACTTAAGGATATCAGCGTATGGTTGAGAAACTACTAGTGTTTTTCCACTTTTTCCAACATGGCAAGTCGATCACCTTAATTCCTTCTCTTCTGAGCAGTGCTCATAAAAGTTGAAGGTGCAATATAACAACTCGRATGTTTGATGATGCCTCAAGTTATTAAGTGAACAAGTGAGTCAGCTTGCTTTTCTGGTTATTGCTTATCTTTTTTCAGCTGCTTTATCCGGCCTTTTTAGAAWAGCTCTGAAAATTTTCAATTTTTGGATTTTTTTTTCAGTAGGTTTAAACAAATTTTTCATAACTGAGCAAAACAACATCATATGAGCCTTACATCAACATGAAAACAGACTAAAAGTCAAGCTTGTCAGGAAAACTTGTGGATTACAAAGGTTCTTAAAGCAATGGGTTTAACCAGATAGATTAACATTTCAGGGGTTTGTGCTTTATTCAGTTAATTTAGGACTTTTAAAAGAAGCCCCGTTCCGATGTTCGTATTTCTAAAGTCCTCTCTTTTTTAGCTTGTGCTTTTCTTTTGTCCCTTTTATTTGCCTCAGTTGTCTGCCTGCTTGGCTGCTTAAGCAGTCATTGAATAGGTCGCCTTTTTGTTTAAAAAAGCACRACTTGGCAGGTGCCTCGGTGGCACGGGCTTCACGGAGCAAATCGTGACGAGGCCAACCAGCGTTAATTTTTCTCACGAGTAACAATGGCTCCGCTCGTAACCCTGCCAGTGACCTCTCACCGCTCACTGCTGCAATATGGTAAAACTATACAGTATGAGCATCACGTAGAGTAATGCTGAAAACAGGCAGGAGGTGAAGGTGAACAAGGAGGACATTTTACTGCAAACAAGTATGGGTGTTCGCTCTTGGATGACAGGATCATAGAAAAAAAAGAAAAGAAAAACAACGTGTATCAGCAGACATGAACAGATCTGCTGTCGAGAGCCAAAAAACAGACACAAAGATGTTCAATAACAGTTGCTAGGTTATATTAAAATCTGCACATCCCCTGAGTTAATATACATCTGATGTAACATGGATGACAAAATCATTTCTGTAACTACAAATCTCTAAAGAAAAGTGAAACATCAGGGTAATATTGTAAGTTAATAAGTAAAGAGTAAATATATTTATGGTTTGTATGAGATATGGAATGTTTTTATGCAACACAGAAGTCACAAACATCCTTTTCTTAATATCTCTTAACCTGTATTTGAGGATCATGTATACAATGATTAGAGGATTTTTCTGTTTTTGTGGCCATTTGCACCATAATATTGGTAAAGGGCACAAAGGGGAGATAACCTCAGCTCCCGTCAATCAAAGAAAATAGGCTAAGGAGATGCAGACTGTCTCACACATTACAAATGAAAAATGTCCTCTGACTACAGCTTATCTTACAACTTAAAAGGAACATTTTGTGTTGTAAAAAGAGGTTGTGCCTTACAAGTCATGTCAAAGGTATCAATATGGACTGGCCCACAAATATTCAGGGATTACTTTGCATCTGAGCTTGATTGACAGGTGAGAATGAAAGGATTAAACAATCATGATGTGATGCAAAGTGCTTTATGCACATTCATTTATGCCTCGTCTCCTCCTAACCTGTCTGGGGATAGCCAGGGCTTTGTTAGATCGGCAGCTGGAAGTCGCTTTAGAATGCCAGGATTTCTCTGTAAAGGTTTCAAGATTTTAGCATTTAGTTTCACACCAAGAGGTTCTAAATGTTTATTGGATGCCAGTCCCCGCAGCAAATGCATTGTTACATTTTATCAAAGATTAATGTTGAAAAATGGAGGCAGACGCGGATAGGGTAAACAAAATTATTCAACAGCRTTTTTTATTTGCTTTCCATAGATTTGTTCAAAGTTCTATACTGAGTTCACACCTGGAAATTGCTTAGCGGATGTGATAAGTGCCTAGCAAGTGTAAAAACAGAGGGTTCACTTTCTTATGAGATGCAACACGCTGCTTGGATTAMTAGCTGTGAAGTAATTGTAAGGTGTGATTGATCAGTCACTTTTTAAAATGAATCAGACTGATCCCGATGTGTATCATCCAATTATCCAAGTAAATTCTTGAGACTAAACAAAAGGCTCAGTCATTATTAAATGTTTTAGATTTTCCGTGTGATATAGGACTGAGTTAATGTGTTAMTATTCTGATGAGATTTGAAGGCTTCTGTAGGATCTGATGAAATCTGACTGGCCTACAGGTGTGTTTTCAGAAATCTTATTTTTCCCAACTTAATTCCTGGCCTGCTGTAAAACTGGCACATTTATTCAAATATCTCATAAAAACACACATGCAAAAAATTAAAACAACCACCCACTCCTTAAGGGTYCAAGCCCATGAAGGCAAGGGTTAATTCTAGGGATGTGTATTGGCAAGACTTWAGTGATAKGATACRTATCATGACACGGGGGTCACTATAATATATCCYGATATATTGAGATACTATAAGCAAGGCAATAGATTGCTATTATTTCTCCAAATGATTCCAATTTYAAATATGYATAAAGAGCAAACCATGCATAACATGCATAAAAATCGGATTAAATTCAGTTTATATTATTCAATCAAAACAACACTGAGCAACAGTGAGAACTGCATTAATATTTCACATTTCTTCTTACAACGTCAATCTAAAGTTCAGCACAAAAATGAACAGCTGGCATAGAAGTTTATATTTAAAGTCTTAATTAAAAATTAATAGTGTTTTTTAAAAATATACAGTATCAGGAAATTAAATATTGTGATATTTCAGATTTTATTAGTGCACTTTATAAAAAAAATTCTGAAGGCCGCAAACTTAATTTTTTTGTAAAGCAGCCTTATCAGATGGTGTTGGCCACACTTATTAACACTTAATTATTAGTAGTATTATTTTTTGCTATGTTGTAAAATTTTCTAACTGTACTTTTGCCTTTTTTTCAAAGATTTACAGTTCAATCACCATGAAACTCCTCATGTTAAATCTAAATAACTCGTTGACTTTAGGTTGTCAAAGACAACAAGTCTCTTTTTCAGATATATCTTATAAAGACAACATTTTTTACAAATGTATTTGAATTTTTTGATTTTTTTATGTTCATGCTACACAAGCATAACACTGATTTTTTTTCAAATAATTGTCTACTCAAGAGCACAAAACATTTAGGCTAGTACCAGAGAGTGTTAAAAACATAACCACATTTTATAAATTGATTTTTGGTACATTTCTAAACTTGCCAAGGGTAATTTGGTATAAGTTGATTGCTTGAGGACACAAATGCATCCAATATTGATGGATTTTTTTTCAGTCTTATTATTGGCATGTTTTTTTTCTAAAAAAAAAGAAGAAAAAAGCTAAAAGCAATACTGATATGTTTGTGTGGTAAACTTACTTTCTACTTCTTTTAGGAGCTTGCTTTTGGTGGGCTGGCATAGTTTGGGGGGTGGGGGTGTGGTAGGGGCTTAGACCCCTGTTATAACTGCTTGCAGCTCTATTTAGTTTTAAGTCTGTGTACAAACAGTGGGGAAGAAAGGAGACCAGATAATGCAGCATCTTCGTGTCCCCTCATTTGATATTTGCCCACTCAGTCGTGAACTGAAAACACGTAAACGTGGCCTGCTCCCAGTTTTGCAAGGAATCAAAGACGATTTCTGCCGACATTGCTCGAGATTTACCACTCAACTGTCAGCGTCATTACCACTGCTGCGGCTGCCACCGCTGCTTTTGTTTCTCACAGTGGAGTCACACACAAGCATAACATGTCCCAGCATGATTTTAATTGCCAGTGGGACTGTGGCCACTTCAGTGGGAGATGAGTTCTGATGGCTTGTTATGGAAATGAAAGGAGGGAGCAGCTTCGATTTACAGAGCATTGGGCGTAACCCTTTCCTTCCACCTTTTAAAAGGATTTGCTTTGTAAAGAGTTGCCTTGGTGACCCACTGCGCGGACTTTAGGAT